CGGGGACAGGATGGGGGGGGGGGGGGTGTTGCCACAGGTAGGGTTTTGTTCCAATGAGGCCCTGGTCACCTGCCCAAACTACCTAAGATTTGGAAGGAGTGAGAGCGAGAGGGAGACCGGGAAGTTATCTCCAGGCCCCTGACACATGTGGGTGTCATTGTGCAAAATCTATAGTCCCTTAGGATCAGCAGCGGGGGGTCGGGAATCTGTAACCCTGTAACCGCAACTACCCCACCGAGCGGATTACAGGAACCCAGTGGAGAGCCGGTTCCCAACAATGAGGTTCATTTAAAAAGTTCTGCGGGGGGAGGGGGCGAAAGAAAGAGAACTAGATCAAAGAGCGGGGAGCGAGGGAGAGAAGGAAGAAGTTGCCCAGGAGCTCCGGCAATCGCCAGGGCTAAAGGAGCTGGGGAGGGAAAGAAGCTGAAAATTCAAACTTTTTTGATGTTGCTGTACAGCTCCTCCGCGTCCCTGCACCCCAACCCTGCAGCCCTGGGGCCTTGGCAGCTGCACAGACAGGAGCAACAAGCTGAGAAAAGAGAGCAACATGACCCGACGTGTTTAAGAGAAGGCAAAACAGTTCAGCAATTAAAAAGTAGCCTAGCAGCTTCATCCTTTCAAATTGGGGGTTGAGGGGCTCTGGGAAAAAAATTAACAACATCTATAGAGTTATGCTTTACAACCGCACTCCTGGAACATTTCGGTTTGAAAACTTGTTTTCTCCAATACCCGACTGGCAAACTAAGGGCTTAAGGAGGTCCCCATTAAATCCCTAGTGGCGGGAACTCGAATTCTGGCGGCATTTTGTTCCCCTGTCCCTCAGTTGACGAGCCCAAGCGCCTCAAACACAGGTAAGCAGGTCAAGACACTTGAACCGCAGTCGGCAGCCCGACCGACGGACTCTCGCGGGAAGGAGCCTAGCCCAGCTGGGGAGGAGGCCACCAACCCCATTACGAAACTCGCTTTGCCAACATCTTTTTGAATCGTAAGTCGCAGCCTTTTTCTTCGTCGCAGACCCCTAGCTCCAGGCAGACTCGCTTTCCCTAGAGACTCTCACCCCACAGGCCAGCAAAGTTGCTGGACAGACTCGAACTCCTGCTTCGCTGGGAAGGGCTCGGAGGCCCAGAGCGCACACCGCGAAGACGTGCCCACGAGCGAACCCCAACTCAAGCAGCACATTAGGGAGACAAGAATCCTTCAAAACTTGTCCCAATCCTAAGCCACTCCTCCGCGACCCCCTGCCTCGCAAACTCCGCCACCCAAAACCTTGCTTCCCGAATTCACATGTAACCCCACCTGGAACTGTTGAAACTCAAGAGTAAGGAGGGCAGAGCCAAATTCCTTCAAACTGGAGAGCAATGTAGGCAGTAAAAGAAGCCATCTCCCTTCACTCCCTCTACCTCCTGCTTCTCCAGACTCAAACTTTTAAGGGTTCGTTTTTAGGAACAAGAAAAACTTTTCAAAAGTTAACGCTCCGCCCCACTTTACCTTGCATAAAACTTCGCTCAAGTCGAAGATGGTGGCAGACACGAGGGTGGTGGTCATCATGGGCGTTCCCACGGGACAAGGGCTCGGATCTGATGTGTCGTGAAGGTCCGGGTGCGGGGAAGGCGCAGCCTCCGGCTCTCCGGTCAGGAGTCCCACACGCCTGCTCCCGGCGCCCCTCGCCTTTCTGACTCTCCCGGGCTGCGGCGCGCAAAGCCCAATTTATAAGTTTCAGATTTGGTGGGCTGGGGGGAGGAGGAGCTTTAAACTTATTTAAATGAAGAAGAGGAGGAGGAAAAAAAAGTTGATTGACACTGAGGTTGAATCAGCCATGCGGTCAAGCGGGAGCGAGGAAGGGAGGAGGGGAAGGAAAGAAACTTTCAAAAGGAAGAAGGGGGAGGGGAGACGAGGAAAGAAGGCGGAAAAAAAAAAAAAAAAACCACTCAGAGCCGTGCGCAACTTTTTTTCTTAAAGAGGCAAAGTTTCGAGTCCACGGGCTCCGCTCCCCCGCACTGGGGCGCCCCTCCCTGGGGCCGCACGGGGCGGAGGGGGAGGGGGAGGGGCGCCCACCCTTTGTCAGCTTTGCAGCGCGCTCTGTGACATCACTCATTCCACCCCCTTCGGAGTTCTTGTTGTTGTGTTGTTATTTTTTTTCCTGGCAGGAAGGCGGGCTCGACTTTCTCTTTTTGCTAGCTGAAGCTGAAGCCTGTCCTGAGGTTTCCATCTTCATCTGGTGTCCTTGGAAACTTCTCCAAGTGCCCGCACGACTTACCTTTCCCCAACTTTCCTCTCCGCACTCGGATCCCCACGGCAAAGCGGGCTGGGCCACGAGTTTGAAAATTTGGAGCGCCCAGAATGTTCAAATCAAGGGTTTTAGTGTTTCGGTTTTTTTTTTTCCTTCCCACCACCCTTCCAGTGTGCGGAGGGGGAAACTAGGGAACACTCCCCCCACCCCCCGCCCCGCCCCAAAACCTGGCTTGGCGAGGGCGAGCGCTGCAAGATTTAGCGCGCCACGCGCGTCTACACTCGTGCTCACCCGGCAGCCAGCGTTCTCCCGGTAGGATCGGGGGGCGTTGCAAAAAAGACCGACCGGGCACTTTGTTAAACAGACCTAGATGTATTGCTTCTTGCACGAATCCGATCTTTAAATTTGTTAATCCAGAAAAATCCAGACTTTGAAGAACGCCCCTCCCTCAGGCTCACAGAAAATACAGAGCCAGTCACTTTCCACGCGCGCTTTGAATTGTGGGCAACCTCCTCCACACACCCCAAACATTATCACCAAGGGAAAAAAAATTACTTTGGCAGAGCGAAGGAGGGGCGCACTTTTTAAATTTATGGTTGCTTTTCTCCCGCCCCCACGAGAATGGAACGTATGGTTTGTCACTGTGCTGTTGAGGGGTGAGGAAGCAATGGGACCCATGCAACCGAAGGGCCCCGGGTGAATTATTACAACCTTAAAAACTGCAAACTATGGTATTTACTTACTATTCAGTTTGGATACCGCCCACACACACACACACACACAGCCTTGTGAACATGTCCCCCGCCCGCCCCGCACGCCTCCGCTAGGGTGCTGCAGTGGAGACCCGGGCGGAAACCGCGGGCCCGCCGCCGCCTCGGCCTCGCACGTTTCTTCCCAGCACTCGAGGCCGCCGGATCTGTTATGAAACAAGGTGCGCCAAGTGGCTTCGAGCGAGTTCCATTGCGGTGTAATTAGGTCACCCCTTTATGAGCACGTTTCTTTGGAAAGACAGAGCGGGCGGAGCAGAGCCCCCCCCAACTTTTTATTGCATTTATTTATCGCCAACCTCTGGGCAAACCCAGGGAAACCTTCCAAATCACAACTGTTTTAAGAACTAGTTGTTTTTTCAGCTTTGCGAAACACACGACTCTGGCTGCAGCCCCGAACCTACCGAAATTCACGGCGGGGGTCCCTGCTTTTATTTGCCTCCTCTAACTTGACTTGATGGCCCCCATTTTTAACCCGACTGCTGCCCCTGGCTTTTTCTGCCTCCGCTGTCCAGCCGCCTGTTGCTTCCCCCCCCCCCCCCCCCCCC